ATGACAATATTTTTCTGCAAAGGTACCTAATAAATATGTACCTAATAAACTAGAATGTTATGACATCAATCATGACATTCATACACCTGGTTTTACCAAAAATGCATGCCAATACCTAAACAACTACAACAACCACAGGGAATAAGCCCACAACATCTTGCCAATAAAGGCCACCAACAGAGCATAAGATCTCACCATACAAGCAAAGATAACAATAGCAAATAGTAACAACATACTTGCATACACCCAATAATACCACATTATCACATCACACTTCATCAAATATTACAACAACATTTCAACACCATAATGTCTTAGTATCACAATCCACTACGCCTATTATCAACCCATCATGAAAATACAACAACAACATTACACAACATAAAATTATAGTATCACAACATAATGTCATAGCATCACAACAACTAAACATGTTCTCAAGTTATCATGTATATTCAACAACATTTACAACAACATAACATCATGGCATGACAATCACTAAGAAATTTGGCAATTCATCATTTATATTCAATAAAAATAACAACATAATATCACTCTACTCAAAAACAATATTCTTCATCACACATCATAGTCAATTCACCCAAAGTCCCATGTTTTGCTACAAATCTTCATTTCTATTAGCCTCCCAACATCTTCCTACTTCATACTAGTCATTACAGACCCAAAGAATTAAACAACACGTGAAAACGGGAAAGAAATCACAAAAACAAAAACTTTTACACCTCAGCCTGTCATTACGCATACCATACACGTACAGCTTCTTCCCTTCCCATCTCATACGCGTATCAAAAGCGTAAAGCAAAAACAGCCACGTTCTATACGTGTATCATATGCATACTGTAACAACCTCTAAAAACCCCGAATAAAATTTTCGCAATTATTAAGGCATATTATCAGAGTACATGTATAATTCGAGGATGCTACAATTCTCCTTTAATAAAACAAATTCCTGTCATGCATAATTTTAGTAGTAACTCATACATGTTTACACTGCGGAATACTTTAATCAATAAAATCAAATGTTATAATAATTTCCAAATCATCAGGGATTAACACCTGGAAAGTCAACATCATATCATAACAAATAAAAAGGGAATAAACGAGTCTGACTAAAGCAGCTCGACAACCAAACGTTCCCGGAGTTACAACTATCAGAGCATGACCCGGACATACTAAAACGAAACTAAACTAGACACGATAAGCCTTCGCCAAGCACCTGAACGAAGCTCCTTAATCTGAAATATTCAACAGTAAGGGTGAGCATCTCAAATATACATTTGGTTATACGTTCATAACAATCAATTCATGAAATCATAAGCATCACCTAATAATTAGCATATTTCATAGTTTACAAAAACCTTCACAATTCATATATCCCTAACATATTACTTTTCATATTTGCAAGTAATCATCAAACATCGTCAACCATTTATCAATCATACGTGCATACAAACAATCAAATACAACATTGGAAGAATCATCCATTCATGTTGTATTTAAGTTAATGCAACACACCCATGCATGTGGTACCACTTCACCGCCCCATTAAATCTCGGGTCACGGATAACTCACCGTTCCATTATATCGCGGACACGGCTACCACCTCAACGTTCCATTAAATCGCGGACACGTATATTGGCCACTATGTTAATTCCACACAATGGGAATTAACAAATGCAACATGATATGTAAGTATGTAACACTCAGCATACTATGAACATCGATCAACATATCATGCACATCAACAATATCAAACATAACATGATATGAATAGCATGTAACCACTCAGCATACTATTTAAACATCAATCAATCACATCAAATTATATCATAGTTCATGCTTGATAACATTATCCAAAAGCATGACAATAAAAATCCAACATCAAAACACTGAAACCAAAATTCAGAAAAATCATCACAGCAGAGCAACACGGGTGCCCGTGTTGTGCAACACGGCCCGTGTTGTGCAGCACGTCCAGAAAAACGCACATTTTATTTTTATCAGTACAGGGGATCTGACACGGGTGCCCGTGTTGTGCAACACGGCCCGTGTCGTGCAACCAGAGCACACCATCTCCCAACACAGAAGAGCAACACGGGCACCCGTGTTGTGCAACACGGCCCGTGTTGCTGAGCGCGTAACAGGATTTTCCTGAACCTGCAGCAGCTCAGAAACAGCAGTCCAAACGCGGAAAAACGCCCGCCAAACGCGTAATTCGGTACCTAACGACATCAGGTTTGTACAATTCACAACAACACCACCATATCCAAAATACCAACAATCATTATAGTAACCTTAACCGGGGATTAACCGTCCCCTTGGGGAAATCTACTGACACTGAGGTTATCCCTATAACTTCCAAGGTAAATTCACGATCATTAGATATACTCCCAATTCACCATTTGGGACCTAAAATTCCTAATCGATTCATGACAATTGGGAACCTGACCCTTTTCTAACAAGGTTCAATCCTAAGGGTATCGATTCCTAGAAAACATCTAACAATTGGGGTTTCCCTACAATTACCCGAATCAACCGTACATAAACCCATAAACAAAGGTAAATCGAGTTATAGCCCCCCTTACCTTATCAATTAGCAGCTTTGAGTTCTTGAGCGATGTTCTTCGTTCTCCGTTCTTCAGAGCTCTATTTTCCCAAATCCCAACTTCTGTTCTTACGTGAAAACCAAAAATGAGAAAATGGCCTAAGTCCCAAACATAACTTTATTTCTCTGCACCCCCACTCTTTACTAACAACATCTAAGCCCAATAACATAAAAATCCCAATATTCCTTATTTCTTTTATTTTCCTCAAATACTCCAAAATAAATAATTCTTTTTATTTTATTAATTCCAATAAAATAAATTCCCAAATTTAAATAAATCAATTAATTGAAAACGGGGTGTTACACATACCACCAAAGACATTTTTCCTCTTAACTCACTCAGACAACTCACATACGCGTATGGCTCCATGTATACGCGTATGGAACTTTCCCATACGCATACCTAAAGATGGCCGCGTTGGTCCTGGGGACAGGGCACGCACCATACGTGTACAGCCTCTGGGACGTCCCCTCATACGCATATGGCTAGCTAACGTGTTCCAAAAAACTGCTATCGCACTAGAATGACTTTTGTTCATTTAGAGCATTCTCAACCTCCTAATTTGAGTCTAAAACAGAGTTTTACACATAATAATTCATAGACTTCATCTAATTTCACTAAACACTTTATCTACATCAATCTTCTTCACCAAAAACTCACTTTTTATCATCTCTTATAGATCTAAAATTTCAATTTAGGTATTTCGTGGAACAACACCACAACATCAAAGGGTATCAACAACAATTTTTCATGGACATCAAATTATTCATAATTTTACATAAAATAACATAAGTATATCATCAATCAACAAAAGGAATCATAATACATCATATCTACACAAAACCATAAGAGGAAAAGGAACCCTCACTAACCTCTCATGTTATAATCACCATTTAGAGAATTCATTATGCCCCCTTACCTTGGTTTGGAGATTTGATCATTCAACAATGGTGGGATTCTCCTTGTCACCCTTTTGCCCTATCTTCTCTTCTCTTCTTTTCTTTTCACGTGACAACAGTTTCTCCCCAATTCTCTTTCTACCACTTCCCTCAAAATATATTTTATTATCATCTAATAATAACCAATAATAATAAAGGGAATAAGAATAATAATCACCATAATATTAATAATAATATTATTAGTGGTAACTATACCATATATCCAATAAAATTTTTATTAATAATAATAGTAATATTTCTTCATTCACCAATAGTATCATTATCATATTATTATTCAAAGTCTCGTTGATAAAAGATTCACAATTGGGAGATGAAAGTTATTGAAACGAACTCGCGGTTGGGCGAAAAAGTTATTTGAAAATGACTCGCGCTTAGGCAAAAAAGTTGTTTAAAAAAAAGACTCGTGATTGTGTGAAAAAATATGGTTTAATGAGTTAGATTGTTTATATGCGGGAGACGAGCATTATAACCACAAGCTAGGTACAACTAGAAATCGAAATACTCGTGAACGGAGGTGATAGCTACGTCCTAACCATTTTTTTTCATCCCAAAAGTTTTATTGGAATAATTTGAGATGAACCTAGGTTCATTTGATTAATGTGTTTTGGAGTGAAGGACAAGCATCGAGACACAAGCTAGGTACGACTAGCAATTCAATTACTTAAGAAACAAATAGGATAGGTATGTCCTAACCATTTCTTTTTCGTGTAGTTTTTGTTATGAAAATAATTTGAAAAGGGTTTTCTAATTAGGAAATGACTTGGCGTTGACCAAGAGTTTATTTTGTATTTACAAAAAAAGATTCGATTAAGTAAAAAAGCGACTTGATGTTGATCAAACATTTTGAATCTTATTAGGAAAGATTGATTTTATCGCGCTTATTTTATCTTATTAACAATAGTGATGGCTAATTAAATAAACTAAGCTAGCCAAGACAAGTGATATGTACATATATGAATAAGCATCACAAACAAGCAAGAAAAAGTAACACAGGTAAACATGAAGAAGCATCATAAGCAAGCAAGCACAAATATATGTTGAAATTGATTTGAGCAACGAACGCATCATTTTTATTTGCAAAACTATATTTAATAATAAAAACAAATGAATACACAATAAAAATAATTCTCAATTAGTAAGATAAAATGAGTAAATAACAAAATGAATAACAAAATAAAGGACATGGGCCAAAGCCCAATTGAAAATAAACTAAACAAGGGGGTACTACCTGAAAAACAAGACGGGGAGCTAGAAAAATGCATGGGCTTGATAGAAAAGCGCATAGGAATAGTCCAAATTGACCAAAGTCAAAGAGGAAAGGGCTGACTCAATATGAGGCGTCAGATTGAATTGCCTTGGCCTAATCTGAGGGTGCAAAGTTGAAGTTTCAGGGTATCTTCATGAGCCCCTATACATGGGCCCCATGTCAGCAATAATGCTCAAAGCATCTAAGGGACATGAGATGGCCACGTGGGCTAGTGGAAGCACAAAGGGCATTTGCACAAAAGGGACAAACCAAAAGAGAGAGCCTATTTCAGTTTCGGGAACGAATCGTGTGACTTTGCAGCGGGAAAGTAACGTGACTTTAGGTCATTTTTATCCATTTGATCGATTGAGTCTACCTGATTCTCCCACATGTATTAATTTTTATAATATTTTAAGAAAACAAACCAAACCACCTTCTTCCTCATCCTACACTTTCGTACCTCTTTCTTTCTTCCATGGTTATTGCCCTTGACACCTTCCACCACAGTAACACTGACACAACACCAACTCATTAATACAAACCTCGTTTGAAATTAATTGAGCATATGAGTATTGTCGGCAAGAACTGGGAAGCATGGATAACTAACAGTGGTAGCGATTCTCAAGGCAGGAAATGAGAGTTATCACAGGTGACGGCGAGGGTCGTATGTGTACAGTAGATCTGGCAGTGAAGATGTGCTTGATGGAAGATTTATGAAGTTGAAGTTGTGGGGTTGCCGGAGAGAAAAAACAAGGTGATGATGGTTGAGCATAACTCCTTGTGTGCAGACATTAATAGTTTGTCGAAAAGATAGCAACGACGAGATGGTGCGATGGACTTGAAGGTGGTGGTCAAACAAAAAGATGGTGGTGGCTGCAATTTCTTCTTGGAAAATATTGGGTCATTTGCGTATGATGAAAATGAAATTTTAGTTTCCCAAGAAAATGGATTTGATAAATATTTGTTTTATTTCTTTTAACAACAACACACGTGTCAGAATATGGTGCACCCGATTGATGAAATGGACTAAATTAACCCAAAGGCACCCTGCCTTTCTCACGTCAATGTCATATAATCTGGAATTTTTTTAAATAATAATTTTTTTCCAAAAAAAAAACTTAAATAATCACATTTTCAAAAAATTTATCAAAGTAACTACTTTTTAAATAAATACTATTCGCTACACAGACGAGGCACCACTCTATGTGGCGCATGCATGGAAAATATAGAGGAGGCCCCACACTGTATGGCTTATCCTCTGGTGTAATGCCATATAGTATGGTGCATGCAATATAATTATACAGGAGGCGCCACCTTGTGTGGCTTGACAGTTGTATATGGTTTTCTATAAATGCAACCACCCATCTTCTTCATTTTTCACACTATTTCTCACACCACTCTTAGAAAAGGTCTTCCACTCCCTTGCCAAGGTTTTCATTGATCAATAGAGATGCACATGTTATTTTTTCAGAGACAAAGCCTCCGATGAATATCAAACTCTAGAACACACAAACATTCAAGCATTTTCAGAGACACTTGATTTGCTAGTTGGAAGGAGACATTCCTGAATGTGAACATATCAGAAAAATTAAAAGACAAATTACAATGAGGAACGAAAATGGAGTAAGCCTATCATGGAAAAAGGTGAGGTGTGACGCTGATGTCATGATTATGATGCTTGGACCAGACGATATTGTGTTGATGGTTTTTATCTCTTAAATATTTTGATGTGTGTTTTGTCTACTTATCATGTTGTTGTGTTGTTGTCCTGAGTTTGTCGTATTGTAAGTTTTTGGGTCATTATCTGAAGGTCGTTGTAATTGCTTGATAAATTGAACACGAAATGAAAACTTGAATTTAAATTGATATTTCTTGCTTACAACAAATTAAATACTCCAAAAAGTTTGTGTGATGCGGTGGGAAAACTGACTTGAAGTTTTGAGTTTGTGTTCGCAAATGTTTCGGTTTAGTAAGAGTCGCCACCAACTTTTATTTTATCCAAAAGAAAAGGTAAAAAATCACAGGAAAGACCTTTGAGATTGTTTTTGGGTTCGGGGGGTAGATTATGAAAAGGGAAGGTGCTAGCACCCTTTTCATCCATGGTTTTCCATAGGCTCTTAGTTACTTGTTTTAGATCACTTGCTTTGCTTTTTCAATTGTTTGAAATGGTGCTTTGTGTGGTTTTGAAAGTATTTTGAAAAGAGACCTTCATTTAGGCAATCTTTGTAATGATTCTCGTTCGTAAGAATGTATACAAAGATGTTTGTCTTTTGAAAAATGTTTCAATGTTTTGAAAGTTGTTTGGAAATTGTTTTGAAAATGTGTGTTTTTTTGAAAATAGAAAGGATTGTTTGAAAGAGATCAAGTAACTAGAAGCATTCTACCCTACTCAAAAGTCTTTCTTGCATATTTTTATTCCTTTGATGTTGTTGACCTACTATTGTTTTAGTAGACAAACCTGTCTTTGGATGTTAAACGGGACGGGCGTGGGTCATCGTATGACCATGATAACAATATTGCCAAGTATCTTTAGCAAGTTTTGAGGGACTATGATCATTTTTGTTTAGGCAACCAAGATAGCGTCATCGAGGGACTATGATCTTTTTATTTTGTTTTGTTTTGCCAAGATACCTAGCATGCATACCATGGCCATTTTTTAAGGCAACCAAGTGGGTGAAACCCTAGAGGTGCTTGTGTGTAAGGTGTTGTCATTTTTCATGCATTTTTGTCTTGTATTAGGTCATGCTATTTGTTTGATTTTTGTCTCATCATACAAACCCTAATTTATTAAACATGCATATAATGCGATAAATTGCGTAAAGTAAATCTAAACTATTACAACAATATTATGGGAAGGGGGATACAAGTTTTTGAATGGGGATATTTGCACAAAATAAAACCCTAATTCACTATTACAACCCAATTGAATTTATTGTACAATAAATAAATAAACAATTATTTAAATATGCAATAAAATGTAAATATGCAAAAATGTTTTTGTAATTGTTTTATGCATGAGAAAATAATATTATCTAAGTCCTAAAAAATAAGAAAAATAATGTTATTATTTTTAAAAGGGGAAACCCTAATTTTTTGATTAAAAGAAAAATATATGTTTTCTACTATTCTTGTCCATTTTTGTTTAAGAAAAATAATAATAATATTATGTATAAATATTAAAAATTAAAATATGTGAGAAAATAATATTTTTATGTGTATAAAATGTAAAATAAAAAAATTAAGTACTTTATTATTATTTACAAGTTTATTTAAGAAAATAAATTCTATTAAACCTAATAAACTATTTTTATGCCATGAAAAATAATAAAAATAATAAAATAAAAATGCAAAAAAATTAAGAAAATATTTTTGGGATTTTTTAATGTTCATAAAAAAAATAATAAAGTCAAAAATATAAAAATAACAAGAAAATATGAAAAATAACAAAATATGAATCAGGGGGTGCAAAAGCAAAATGGGGGGTATTGGAAGTAAAACAAACAAGCCCAAACGCGCAAAGCCCAAGCCAGCCTTCATCCCTGACCTTTGTCTCCTTCGCGCGCTTGGTTCAGTTCAACCTGCAACTCTCTATTCTTTGTACAAAAACAAAATCTTGCAACATAAAACTTATAGCATTTTTATCACGATTCCAATGATATAAAAAACGTGACCTAACTATAAAAGACCAAGGAGAATTTTAATGGCCCTAATTTCTGACCTAGTTTTTTCAGCATGTTCAACAACCAAATACTCCTAGCTCAGTTAATATAAATGGAAATTATGCATATGTACAGGTCAAGCATGTTAAGGACTACATCTTTGCTTCACAAACCTAAGCTTAAGGATGCCTGAATAGAGAGATAGAAACTTGACAAGTACCTTGTTCAGTTGATTTTGGATATGGCAGTGTGGGAACTTTGAGTGAGGCCTGAAGTTTTTGTGAGCTTCCTTGAAGTTCCCTCAAGCTTCTACAATGCTCAGCTTGCCTTGTAGATGCTTGAATCTCCCTGTAGAAGTCAACCTGCAAACCTTCAAAATGAAAATGGTGAAGCTTGAAATAGGGCACACAGTTGCAAGACAAGGGCCTGGATAGTTTAGGTGTGATGTATGGAATATGTTTGAAGCCTTGAAACAAAAAACGCACGAGCAAAATATGATTTTGCTAGTGATTTGCAGAGACTGCCCTGTTTGGGCAGAAAATGGTGTTTTTTATGTTTTAGGGTGTTTTGAATGTTGTGAATTCGTGTTTCTTGCTTGTTACAATGTTCTGAGGTTGTCTAGAATAATGCCAAGGCTTCTCTTTATCAGATGGATCAGTTGTATTGACTTTTACAAGTTTCTTGCTTTTCAAGAAAAGTTGGAAGTGACAATGCCAAAGCCTGTACAGGCTTGCTTGCTAGCTGCACATAGTTGGTACAAGTTGCCTGATATTTGTGGATATTGTTTGCAGCAAAAGATTAGGTCCATGGCTCAAGATTTGCAAAGTTGGAAAATCAAGCTTTATCAAAATAGCAATGTGAACTTTATGCCATTTTTGGATTAATTCATTGTGCAATGCTTCAAAAGTCAGAACAAGACCATTATCCAATGTGTTTGCATTCAATTATGGAGTGTAGAAAGGATTAGGACCTGTAAAACCAAGTACAAGCATGTTTGAAACTGATTTGCAACTTGTAACATTGAGAAAATGCCTTGGACAAAAGTGATAAATTGCCATTTTTATTTCTTTGATTCTCCCTAACCATAAATGATATTGAAGAGTTCTTAGACATTTTGGAAAGCTTGTAACATGCTCTACAATCCATATTTGAAATGCATTTTGATATTCCTCTTGGAACTAGGTGAAAAGTTCCCATGAAGTTAGGTCAAAAACCTGCCTAAATTAGGGCAAAATTTCACTAAGTTAAAAAGTTTATGGACCCCTATTCACAAAATCATAACTTGAGATCCAAGTATCTTTTGGGAAAACTTTGTGAATCAAAGTTGTAGATTTCATGGAGGACTACGAGTTTCATTTTGGAAGTTTCCTTTGAATCCAATTGCATCATGGTAAAAAAGTTGTGGAAAGTTGGGAAAAAATAAGAAATTTCCATAACTTAGAAAAATTCAAAGTTATGAAAAATTTCAAATTAAAACCCTAATTTGCAAAATTATGTTTCTTGGCCAACAAGTTTCATATTTTTACATATCTTGATGAATTATGACCCTTGGCACTTGATTTTGACCAAAAAGTCAATGTTTTAACTTTTCAGTGTACAGTTGATTTTTGATTAGTTGACTGGAAAATTCATCTGTCAATCCTATGCATTTGAGATATTTTGAACTATGTGATTAGGTCAATATGGTTCCATTGAGTCCTTGAAATCATGCTTGAACCCAATTGGTCATTGGCTAGGTTAAAAATCAGAAATTGCCCTTTCTCAGTCAAAACCCTAATTTTGACCATTTTGCCCTTTTGATGATCTGATCAAATTTCTTGAGGAGTTGTGGTC